TTTCCCCTCAATTAACAGGAGAGTTTGTAACCGCTGATGGAGTGGATTACGATGTGATTGAGGTCCCATATGAGGGCGACTTACTGAGCATGCTCTTGGTGTCTCCCTTTGAGCCTGAAGTTCCTCTGAGCACGCTCAGTGCAGATCTGAGCAGCCAGAAGATCCGACAGTGGAGGACAGAGCTGAGGAATGTCAGGAGGCAACTGGCCTTGCCTAGGTAAGAGTGGTCCGAGTGTATCTTTGGAGCTAACAATAAATTATATTGATTCATATTGATTATCACAAGGCTATCAGCCTAAACAAAACACAAGACACTGAAAGACTGGTGTTTTTAAGGTTTACTCTGGACTCCGAGGTGAATCTGAAGACTGCGCTAGTTAACATGGGACTAGGAGACATCTTCAACCCAGCTACTGCAGACTTCACACGCATCACCTGTAAGTCAACCTTTTTGTTAAATGTTCACCTCTCGGGGGTAACTGTAGTTCCCGAGGTGCAGCAGGTCATCTACCAATCAGAAAGTTGGAGGTTTGATCCCTAGCTACCCCAGTCTGTATGCCAAATATCCTCAGGCAAGATACTAACCCCAAGTTGCTCTCCGATGCATCCACTGGAGTATAATTAAGTGTGAATGTTAGATAGAAAGCACTTAAGCATATGAATGGTATAAATGAGACAAGTTGTATAAAGCACTGTGAGTGTTCGGGTAGGTAGAACAGTGCTATCAGTGCTATCATCTTGGAGTCAGGAATGACTCCAAGATTCCTTACAAACTTGGAGTCATGAGTGTATTGTGTTGTTATATGAACAAATCGGAGTTCATGACCATCACTAAAGCTGTTTCTGCGCTATGATACACTCTTAATCCTGACTGGAGCTTTTGAAATAAACCACATGATCACTCAATTTTATATCTATCTATCTATCTATCTATCTATCTATCTATCTATCTATCTATCCATTAAAACCAACTTAAAAGCCTGTGTGTCAAGACTGTCCATATTTAAAATTAAAGCATTTTAAGCCTTAATGATAGATTATAAATAAGTAGATAAAAAAATTTAAGGTAAAAAAAACTACATAATGAAAAAAACAAACATATTTTATGTAATTGTTTTTTTCTTTATTTATTCATTTGGTTTTTTTGTGTTTTTCCCTCTAGTGGATCAAAGGCTGTGTGTGTCGAAGGTCCTGCAAAAACTGAAAATTGAGGTGAATGAAGAGGGAACCAAAGGAGCAGCATCAACAGGTACCCTAATTTCTCAAGTCTATATATATTTATTTGTTGCACAGGTGATATAATTGATTTTTTTATGGTAGTATGGAACATAATATGATGTAAGCTAAAAGGGGATGTTGAAAATAGGCAACAGAAGCAGAGTTCTTAATGTCGTTTATAGATATTGATTTATAGACACAGAGAAAATATTTTAATCATTTTTTGTGATTAATCAAATTGTAACAAAAACTTTTCAATATCAGGAGAACTATTTGAAGATAATGTGAGGGGTCAAATGAGGTCCCCACATAAACCCAACACTGACCTTTCCCCCCCTTTTTTTTCATTGTTCTGTTAGCTGCTGTCATGTTTTCTCGTATGGCCGTAGAGGAGATCGTTCTAGACCGACCTTTCCTTTTCCTTATCCAGCACAAACTCACAGGTAACCTTTTACTAGAATACAATTTTACAATACCAGACTGCTAATTGGTAGAGTGGCTCCCTAATGTTCTCCCTTTTATGTTTAGGTGCTGTTCTTTTCATGGGTCAGTTCAACCAGCCTCAGCAGTAACCCACTCTGAAAACCTTTCATTCCCCTGCGTGAGGCTACTAAAGTTCCACATAATGACCATCCAATGGATGACATATCTGACATATACTACTTAAATCAGATGACATATTTGAAACTGTAAACTAAATCACTGGAAGGTTTATTTACAACATTATTGAAAAATATTTTGCTAAATATATATATTTCTTTATAGATTATTTATTTCTCTGAATGTTTCTGGCTGATAAAACATATCGTGATATAAAGGAAAGTGAACATATGAGGTATTTCACCTGTTTCTGATACAAAAGATATTGATTTAATTGTAAGGGAGGGACGCTGATGAATTAGTATTTATAAATAGTTATATTTTGATATTATTACTGTTAGAAAATATATTTCATATTTTTTGTTTGTTTTGTTCTTACATTTTTATTTCTGTCACTATGCTTATATTTATTAAACTACTATATTTTTTACAATGTTGCAGTCTTTGAGGAGTTCTTTGAAAGGTTAACATTGACTTTTTATGTTCTCCCCCTGACTCAAGCATCAAAAGGCACCTAATAAATCAATATAGTTTCTACACATAACAGAAATATTCATTCCCATTTCTTTAGTTAAATCTGCCAAAGATAAGCTTGGCATAAAACAGCATTTTTGTACTATTAAGCTGCAAAATAGGTATTAGCTGAAAACCTGAACACCTAGCATGGTGTGCAGTGATTGAGGAAACTAGACAAGTGGAAGACAAAAGCATGTATCTATCTACAGTAGATGTACAGTATCTGAAAGCAAGATATAGGGTGGGGTGGGGTCCCGACACTGATTCGCCAAAGCAAAGAAAATCTGTCAGGAAGCCATTCTTAAGAAGGGGAAACATTACACAAGAACTCGAGTGAGAATGAGTGACCAGAGGTCTTCATTTTTCAGCATCATATCCCAAACACGCCGCCAAAGTATTAAAAAGCATAGATAAACACCCATTGAGAGCCTGCACTTCAACATTATTGAATCTGTGTGGGATTATCTTGACACAGAACAGGCAAAAAACAACCAAAGCAGAGCTTCAAAATGTCTTTTAAGAAATCTAGAGATTATTCCTGAAGACCAATTAAAGAAATCCCAAATCTTGCCTATGAGAGTTCAAACTGTGTTAAAGAATGAAAGTGGTGACACCATGTATTGACTTCCATTTCAATAAATCGCTGCCTCTATTTCCCATTTTCTTAGCACGCTCTTAGATATATATATATATATATATATATATATATATCTACTGCTGAAAAAATAATTAAAGGAACTTAGAAAACATATTAGATCTTGATTAAAAAAACATGTGGACCAAGGTCCAGATCCGGACACACAGGCTGTCCCATATGGACCCAGACCTACAGCCAAAACAGAAGTTTATGATTTAACACCAGGGAGGGCACTTCTATTTTTAACTGGTTCAGCTATTCTGGTCTTTATGATAGTGGTTCAGTGGCTGCAGAAATGCACAGACCAATTAGATGGAAGCTAAGCCATACCACATGATACCACTTAACCAATCAACTCTGTGCATTCCAGGTGTTTAACACTGACTCTACAGGGCTAAGTTAGCAAGTTACACATGTGAAGACGAAGAAACAGTCCGTGCATCACAGGAAGCCTGCAGCAGTCTAGGTCCAAATAAGGAAGGATTTAGAGTTACCAGATTGAGCACTAACTATATACTTTAGAAAAGAAGGCCTAAAAGCTGAAGACTTTGTGTCCCATCATATTTAGATACTAAGTATCTGGTTAGACACCATGTTGTGTCATCTGCTAGCGATGAAAATGTATACTGTGACTTCAAATGATACTACTGAAAGCTTGAAAAATGTAAACAGAATTGGTCCTAGCACAGAACCATGTGGAACTCAATCCGGTCTTTAAGTCTGACATCATTAGCTGTTTTGGGGTCCAAACTCCGCTTCAGGTCCCAAACTCAAATGAACACTGCAGCATCACTGAGAGGAGGAGCCTGGGATCGAACCACCAACCTTCCGGTTAGTATCTGACCTGCTCTACCAACTGAGCACAAGTCATTAAAAAGCCACCCTGCTTTTTAGAGGTGCTGAAGTTCAGAATAAATAGAAAAAGACACAACAGAAACACAACAGCCTTATTAAACGCAGAGTAGTTTTGACCCAGAAGCATGGTTCATCCCGTCATCACTTAAAGACTGGATAATTAAAACTTAGTGTGTAAAGAGGACTCTCCATTTACATGAAAAAAAAAAAACAGAGTCTATCAGACAGATATCATGCAAAGCCCTACAGTGCTATACTTTAAAACCAATGGCATGCTCTAATCTCTGTAATAAAATACTGTGGTCAACAGTATCAACGATGGACTGAGGTCTTGCAGAACAAGCACAGAGATGAGTCAGAGGCCAGGAAAGGATCTGTAACCTTCGCTAAAGCTGTTTCAGTGCTGTGATGAGCTCTGAAACCTGACTGAAACTCTTTTAATAGACCATTCCTCTGCAGATGATCTGTTAGCTGTTTGACAACTCTTTCAAGAATTTTTGAGATAAAAGGAATGCTGGAGAGTGGTCAATAATTACATAAGACAGCTGGGTCAAATTACTACTTTTTAAGTAATAGTTTAATGATTGCCACCTTAATTGCACATAGCCTATTAACAGAGACAGATGATCATATTTAAGATTAAAGCATTTACTAATTGTAATAGTTTGAGCAGTTGGTAAGAATGGGTCATGGGGTCTAATGGACGTGTTGATGACCTGGTGGAAGCGATTACTAAAGTTATTTCAGATTCAGATTAGTTGAAGTGAAAGAGTCTAAATAAATATAAATGACATTTAAAGTAGCTTAAAATAATGATATGTCTATGGCTTTGAGTATTTGTTCTTCAATAGATAAAATTTCATTTATTTTTTCTTTAATTAATGAAGTTAAAGGAATGCTTGACTCAGCAGAGCTCTGACTTTTTGTAAGCATGGCTACAATGCTGAAGAGAAACCTGTTTTTTTCGGTGTTTAATGAATGATGATGATGGAAAATCCTACCGTTACGGAGAGTCTCTTTTTTTCTTTACCAGGGACTCAGTGTCCGCAGTTACACACGGCGAGGATGTAACACTAAACTTGATACACTTTAAAATCATTCGAACCCTCCGGAAGTGAGACGAAATCATAAACGTCACGTTAGACGTGCCGGAGTGCGCATGCTCCTCGGATGTGGAAGTGCTTTGGCAGAAGCAACGGTCGGAGAAGGGTTTGCGTTTATTACAAGCGCAGTAGTTGAGCACCTCACACGGGAATGAACTTTCGGCATTAGTTCGGGTGCACGTCTGAGTGGGCAGCGAGGGAGTAGAGTCCGTTTGTAACGTGACACAAACGTTAAAAATCCCACAGAATGGTAAGTTATTACGTCTCACTTGCCTGGAAAAGTGTACGTGGAGGGTATGCTACGCTAATGCTATCAAGGTGTATGATTCCAGGAAGTCACCACCTGCGGTAACTACACCTGGCTTCTGTCAGCATAGCCTTGCAAGCTAACAGGCCAGCATAACCTGTGAAACTTCATGCTTCTTACGCTGTATATAGCTTTCGTGCAGCTTGTGATCTGTGTGATGTTAGTCAGACTTTAGCATGACAGATAGGGGACAAACTAGTGTGACTGCCCTTGTTGCAGGTAATTAGTTTATCTTTAGGTTTTAGTTATCGTCAGCAACGGAGGCGATGCCGTGCTTCCTACTTTCTGCCAGCCTAGGGTTACAACATAAAGTAATGAAATAGGTTTCATTATGTGGCTAACTTTCTGCTTAACCTCAGCTCAGTTGTTTTTGAAACTCTGCATGGCCAAACCATGTGGCCGAATGATGTGACTGACACTGGTGATGTTAATATTACCTGCCATAGCATTCATCTTTTATGAAACCATACCTCCCACACTCATCCCTGCCAAATAGACTGTAGACTGGTAACAGGCACATGTAAGTAAACATAATTAGTAAGTGATACGGTGGATTAGTATTGCCAAATCTGCAAAGTTTTAAAATAGCTCTAATACACATTACAGCTTAAGTTTGTATCAGTGGTTTCATTATGTGATTGAAGTGTTATGTATATGTGTTTGCTTTAAATGCAGTATAAGACGTCTATGTGTGTAGGTAATATCAAACCAAAATATTATAGACATTTGATGTCAGTTCCTCCCTTTCCTTTGCCAGTATGGAGTGGGGAAACAGCATAGGATGATGAGATGAAACACACATACAACCGCAATGTAAATTTGTCATGGCCATTATGTTATTATAGACTTTCATATCCATTCCATCCATCCATTTGCTTCTGCTTATCCTTTTCAGGGTCGCAGGGGGTGCTGAAGCCTATCCCAGCTGACTTCACAAAGAATATTTAAAGATTGTCATCCTAGTGCAAGTCTTTAGTGACCAAATCCATTATTTATTTTGGTTTTAGTCCTAATTTGGTCTTCCAGCACCTGAAAAAGGTAACTGACTCTTCAACTGCCAAATGCTCCACTTTGTTCACCTTCTACTTTTGAACTGCCAGTTTTCAGTAGTGTACTTGGGACGTATCAGAGAGATATTGCATTAACGACTGAGGGATTTGGAGGGCGTGGGATAAGTAGACTGGAATTTAAATAAGTTATTACAGAAAGCCATGAGGTTGTTTTATTTGTTTTTTTTTTTGGTTGGTTTGACTGGATCACTGTAACACAAAATCATTTTAAAATGGCTATTTTATAATGCTGGCTAACTCCCTATGTGTTTCATTGTGACACTCCATTGGACCAAGTAGATATGGGATGATGATCTAATATAGACACCAAGAGGAGATTAGAACTTTTTCTTTTTTAATTGTGATTTGAGAAAACAATTTGGCATGCTATTCTCTTTTTTTTCTTCAGTATATGTCTACGGAAATGTTTACCACAAGTTAAAGTCTCACAAAATGTCATAGAGTTGATTTTTGAGTGCAGCACATCTCAGTCCAAGCATCTATTCTGCTGGATTTCAAACATGGTGCAGTTCTTTGTTATTTGAGCAGACAGGAGGCGCCGTGTGCTCTAAAAGGTGTGCACTGTTGACATGGTTTAATTTCTAAAGACTCACAGTGCACACTGAGGTTTATTTGTCACCAAGGATGTGCTTCTCTTGACTTAAGATTTCACTGTATATTAAACTTTGAACCTGAACTTTTTCTAAGCAAGGACACCAGACCACATTGCAAAATGTTGATACCATACCATTGACTCCTACCATATGATGGCATCTGCCTCTATTAATATGGGGCCCTCCTATTTATCCTCTTTATCATAATGGTGCAACACTTGAGCAGCCGCACTGATTATTTTATTGGAGTTGAAATAATTTTGACCATATTTAACTCTTAATGACATCCCTGTATTTCTTTGCTTTTGGGAATTGAAAGAGCATTTGAACACAGAAATTGTTAATGATGTCAGACTTGATAATAATGTTTACAAAAAGAGCAAATGATAAAAAAAACTGTGATGAAGTGACTCATAATTGGGCACAAGACTGCAGTTAACAGGAAAAGTTCCTTTACTGGACCAGTAATTCTAATTGTCACATTTATGTATTGACATGTACCTACACATTGAACACATGTTCTCATATATGCTCTACTGTCTTTTTGGGGGGTGTTCTATTTTTGCATGTAGATGCGCTTCATGCTGCTGTTCAGCCGGCAGGGCAAGCTGCGACTGCAGAAGTGGTACACAGCCACAGCTGAGCGTGACAAGAAGAAGATGGTCAGGGAGCTGATGCAGATAGTGTTGGCTCGCAAACCAAAGATGTGCAGTTTTCTAGAATGGCGCGACCTCAAGATTGTCTATAAAAGGTAAAAGTGCCATGAGCAGTCCTGCATTTTGTACTCATCACATCATCACGTGCTTCTTGTGGTACTTTCTTTACACTATTTTCATCTTTTCTCATTTTAACGGTACTGACAGTTGTTTCTAGAGTAGATATTTACAGTTTCATTTTCTTTTGTAGCTAACTCGTGCTATGAACTGCTGTCGATTTATCACTAATTATCAAGAAACTGTAAAGAAATGCACTAGTGCTTTTATACATTTAGGCAGTAGCCTTTATTGTTTAGAAATTTTTAAAATAAATGTTAGTAACACAGTATTAAACATGTAAAAAGGATGAGATGTGGCAGTGCTTTGTCTCCAAGAAAGAAACAGTAGGAAGGAAAATTCCATATTTGTCCATATTTGAGTATTTCATTAAAATTAATGTCTGTTGGAAAGAGAAGCTGCTTTCCTATAGATGGGGACGATAGGCCCACGTCCACCACAGTGGTACATGGTCTTTCACTGCCAGCCCAGCCCCCACTGGTGGAACAAGTAGATGAACTATAATTCTGCATTGGCAAATTAGGTGAACTACTGCCTTTGAGCTCTAACTACAGAGAACCTAACCATGGCCTCATACATCCGGTGATCAGTGGAGGAATATGGGTGGCCCTGATCACCAGGGCCATGGGCTGGATTTGCATTGCCTTAACTGCCAGGAGCTCTTAGCATCAGGGCAAGTTACTACAAATCTGGCCTGCTTCCCTTGACTTCCCTGGTCAGAGAAACACATCTTAAGGACTTAAACCAGCTATACCTAAGGAAAACAACTTGGTTTAGAAGATGCAACAAGTCTTTCTGTTGAATGTTACATTATTAGATTTTTATGAGTCATTTGAAATTTGAAGAAGCCCTACACATTTCACACTATAGTAACTAATATAGTGACACAGTGGCCTCTCCTACTTCCCACTATGGCCAGCCACATCAGCTGGCTTCGCCACACCTAGCAGAGTTAATGGCTGAGTCCACAGTGTTGACACAACAAGCTTTAGAACGTTTGCTTTTCTGCATCAGAGCTTTGGAAGGCATACTATATCAACTGGACAAAAAGGGCCGCATCAAACTTATTACCAGACTCCCTCATGACATGCATGCCAGTTCCAGAGGAAATTCATCTACTGAAGATAAAAAAACAGCCTGCAAAAGGCTGGCTTGAGATTTTACAGACCGGACAAGTTCAGCTGCGGCGAAGGGAAGGAAATTAGACCAAAGAAGCATTGTCCCTGAGACTTTGTTGCATAAAACAACAACCATCTTATGTGGTACAGAACCACCCTTGACCATCACTAAAGAACGCATCCCCTCTACAAGTATAGTCTAACACTGGACTAAATCAGTGGTGCTAAACATAAGACCAGGGGGCCAGAATCAATCCAGCAAAGACACCAATTCAGCCCACTGGAGTCTTTGGAACATTTTTGGACTTTTAACTGTATTTTTATTTTATTTTTAAATAATAATTTCTTACAGTCTTTTCTGTTGATAAAGACTTCCTCTACAGCCATTCATGCTACACCAAAGTAATGCATAAACATTTAATTGACAGGAAAGTTCCTGTTTTTCACTATCTGCTATGGAAATTTTCATTACCAAAAAAAAAGAATTTTTCATCAATCAAAAAAACAAAAGTGATTCGTAAATACAGGACAGTCTGGGCAGTGAACTACAAGTAATGTCCAAGTAAAAGTTTTGAATAAAAATGTAAAAAAAAAATTAAGAGTGACTCCTTGGAAGCAAAATATAAAGAAAGGATGGGTGGCTTAACACAGTACTCCAAGTCTATAGATCGGTTAGGTATACCTTTGTTAGGTACAACGTTTTAACTACTTGTTGAATGTCTAATCAGCCACTGATATTGCAGCAACCCAGTCCATGTATTTATGTAGACATGGTCAGCACCTCAGAATGGGGAAGAAATGTAATTTAGGTGACTGAATGTGGCATGGATGTTGCTCTGACACACACTATTCTGAGTGTTTCACAAATTGGTGATCTATTTTCTAACAACCCTCTTTAGAAATTAAAGGGAAAGTTCTGAAAAGGAGAAAATATGCAGGGAGCAGTGGTTCTTTGGACAAAAATAACTTGTTCATTTCAGAGAAGAAGACTTCTTCTATCTGATAAGGGTTGTTGTAGCTCAGCAGGTATAGCACATTGTGCGCTAATCAGAAGGTTGGTGGTTCAATCCATGGCTGTTCCAAATACATAAATATACGTGCCAAATATCCCTGGGAAAGATACGAACCCCAAGTTGCTCTTCAATGCATCCATCTGAGTTTGACTGTGTGTGAATGTTAGGTAGAAAGCATGTACAGAGAAAAATAAGAGCTTGTGTAAATGGGTGAACAAGACAAGTTGTATAAAACACTTTGAATGCTCAGGTAGAGTAGAAAAGAGCTATATAAGAACCATTTACCATAGTACCAACATAACCCTGCATTACAGCCAAAGTATGAAAAAGACAAGATGGCAGCAGCAGACCACACTGGGTGCCATTCCTTTGTATGTGCTCCCCAAAATAGGGAAATAGAATATTGGAAGACGATTGTGTGGTCTGTTGAGCTTCAGTTTCTTATCCGACGTTTGGATGAGAGGGTCAGAATTTGACATAAATAGTATGTAAGCATGGGGCTATCCTACATTGTATGAAATGTTCAGGCAGGTGTTAAATGGGATCATTACCTGAGTATTTTTCCTGACCCCGTCCAACCCTTATGCTCACATTGTGCCCATCCTGTGATGACAGCTTCCCCCAGTCACCTGGTTTGTTGAACATGACAATGAGTTCACTATACTCACATCGTCCCCTCTGTCACCAGATATTAATTCAATAGAACACCTTTGGGATATTGATATAATAATGAGATATTGATGTGTTAATAACCAAAACGCAAGCACAACTTGGAGGTTACAACACAACTTGGCAAACAATGCATTTAAAACAGAAAGCAGAATTAAGGATTTAATAATTTAGCCCACTTACTGTGGACAAATTACAAAATCAGGCAAGTCAACAAGATCAGGGGGATAAGTGACTGATTAAAACACAGATGCTACTTCATAGGTCAGCACCCAAACACAGGTTATTGGACTGAAAGAACTCTGCATGCTTGCTCTGTGCTGTCTGGCAGCCCGACACAGGTATGGTAAACTGTCATACTTCGACTGTATGCTGTACTTTTTTTTTTTTTTTTTTAAATTTGTGATGACTTTTGAGGCAGAAAGTCTTAACTGGATCTCACAGCAGGCAGTGTGCGTCCTTGTTGGTTTGTTTGGCGACATTGGGTTTTCAAATTGATACCATAGGTGAATCTACTTAATATATTTGAGTTTCAATCTCAGTGGCCTTAACATAAAGGTCAGAGGTTAAGTTTTCTGCAAATCTAGTGAATGCGATAACTTGAGAACAAGGCAATGTAGGATTTTAAAATTGTTTCTACTTTTGTGTATATCGTCTTGCAGGTATGCCAGCCTTTATTTCTGTTGTGCCATTGAAGAGCAAGACAATGAGCTGATCACACTCGAAGTTATACACCGTTTCGTAGAGTTGCTGGATAAATATTTTGGCAGTGTAAGTCATATGTGCATCTTAATGTGATTTTCCTGATTTGCATGTGAATTACTTTGAAGGAAGAGACTAGTTGATGGCATATGAATCCTGCTTCCGGCCTGGCTGTTACACCAGGATGTTGTGTTTTTGGCATGTTTTAAAGCTTTGCATCTTGTTCTGTTTAATCAGAACAAGCCCCTAAAATAGTCCATGATCACTGTCGACCTGTCTGGGTTTTCATTACTACGATTCATCTGCAACACTTTTTAAAGCTCCGTTTTAAAACCTTACCATGTAACTACAACCCAGCTGCTCAGACACCAAAGATTTGAATGAGTCAGAAAAGAATCACTCTGAGGCAAATAAAGATTGGAATGGGAACATGAAGCTGAGGATCAGGAACTTAACATAACGAGTAAAATAAACTATGCAGCAGTATATTAATGACTAACCTGTGTTGTGGATATATTATATAAGGCCTGACTGAAGTTTGGTCCTTGTTTTTTCCTCTTTTTCATCCCATGCGATTGCATTTGTCTCTGCCCACGGGGTACCCTCATGTTAAATTTTATTGAAGGGAAAAACTTATATTTCATCCTCCAGCTTCACTGTGCTAATGTTTTTATATGCTAACCATAGCTCTGTAGCTAGCCAGCATGTAGCAAACCATTATATTCCAGCTAGCCCAACTTCAGTAACCCTACAAAGGTCAGTGCGGTTTAGTTTTTCTGTCCTCATTTAAGTGACAGCAGTGCTGTAAGTTTGATTTTTTTTCCCTGAAATCTCTCAGTCAGCGCATGGTATATTTACATGGAAACTAGCGAGCTAACTTCCTGCTAACTTCTAACTGTTGAATTTAATAAATTCTGTTTTTATGGATGCCTGGATGTTAAACTTAATTGTTACACCTGGTAAAGCAGCAACACTGATCATTTTATTAAAGATGAAATAATTTAGACAGTTTTTAACTCTCATTGATGCCGCAGTAATCGTTTGACATTTCGTTTGACATTTTCTCCAGGGGTAACAATAATTCTTAGTAAAGCAAGTTATCCTTAGTTGGTTTAAGTAAAAATGTACTCATATAATACATGCAGTCACTCCTTGTATCATTTTGTATACATTTTCTAAAATTATTATTATCAGAAAGATAAATATCTACTTGTTAAAATGTACTCACAATGTGAATTCAAACATAATTTTGTTTGAATTCTCCAACGGAGAAGTTGAAAGACCATTCTGAGACTTTTCCTGGCATGGTAAAGAGTGGTGTTTTGTGTATGTGTAGGTGTGTGAGCTGGACATCATCTTTAATTTTGAGAAGGCCTACTTCATTTTAGATGAGTTCCTGATGGGAGGAGAGATCCAGGACACATCTAAAAAGAGTGTCCTCAAAGCCATTGAACAAGCTGACCTACTGCAGGAGGTAAGCTGGGCTTCAGAGTTGACATGACTCAAGAAGACGATGCGTTAAAGTTAGTGACCTGTGAGTTATCACTGAAAAGTGGTGGGACACATTTTGTTGTGTTAATGATCACCAGACTAACTTCAGTTTGGAGTTGTGCAGTTTGTACACTCTGCATATGTAAATTTGTGTTGTTTTTTTTTCCTCCCTGGTCGGTGAAAAAACAGTTTTGTGTAAAAGTTTCCTTTCTGCCTGCACTCTGAGTCAGCTAGCCCTAACTGTTGCATTTTTTTTTTTGCATATAATACAGTAATACTAATATAAATGGCATACAGTTATCTTTCTACTCATGCCTGTCAGAGGTGACAGCTCCATGCAATGTGAATGGAACAATTTGTTGTCTGTAATTTAAGTTGCGTCTTCCATTTGTTTATCTTTTCAGGAGGACGAATCACCGAGAAGTGTACTGGAGGAGATGGGCTTGGCATAGTCCACAGCAGCGCTATGGGAGAATATAGAAGGCAGGGGGGTTGGTCAGTGTAGAGTAGAACATGCATCAACTTGACAGTACTGGTACTATGTATATGTGAATGGGGACTGGTATACACTGTTTAACTGGGGGAGAGACTCAGTTAGTGGAAGAACCTTGCAGTGCCAGGCCCTTTAGCTCTGGGTGGGTGGGTGATAGTGTGCGTGCGTGTGTGTGTGTGGGTGGGGGGGTCACTTCTATGTGGCTGCCAGAGTTGTGTGTTTATTTTTTTTTTTTTAAGGAGTAAGGCAGAGTCCAGCTAAGAAAATAAGCCACAGTGGTAAACAATGTGGGTTATATACACTTCAGCAAAGTAACATTTTGCTGAATGTTTATCACAGTATTGTGATTTTGCAGTGTGACTGGGCTATGATACAAAAACTGGTTGAGCAGGCACATTATATCATGAAGCCTTGTCAGGTACTGACTATGATCTCACTTGAGTAGTAAGACTGTAATAAATATTTAATATCACTACAAGTGCTACTAGTGAATTTTAAAGCATTGACGATGGTAAGTTGGGGAAAAAACACTTAATTTATACATACATTAAACAACATTTAATGTCATTCTGTTATTTAGATAATACATTCGCTCGTATGATGGCTTGTGTTCCTGCCTTGTACAGTATATTTACACCATGTTAAGAAATGCAGGCGCTACATAAAACAGTGAAGAAATTAAAAACAAAACAATTACAAGAATTAGACATTTTCTTAATTTTCTGGCTCCACTCAAATTGTTCTTGTACTAGGTAATCAATTGGTGCTGTCAAACTATGTCTGAATATATCACGTTTATTTCAGGTGTTTAATATTTTTAGATTGTATGAATACTCCTTGTTATTGGCCCATCTTTCATTGCACAACTTTGATAAACTGATAGTGAAGAATAAACCAAAGACATTTTAGTATGGCATCAGAACTAAAAAAAAGATCTTATTTACATTTGAACCATTAATATGTACTGAGTGTGTAATCCTGATGAGATGGAAATGTCATATGCAGTTTAAGAAAAGTGCAACTTAGAATGAGAAGGAACACACGTAAAGGTCAGAGTTGAAAATTATAGAAAGGACATGCTGTGTGCAGTGGGTACTTGTTTGGGCTGGGGTGAAATTACAAGGCAGATAGAATTATCTAGCTTAACTATATTTTATTGTTCTGTAAATATTTTACAAAGTTTTGTTTTCAGTGTGACATCTGTGTGAAAAACAGGCTTTTGCAGTGGGCAGTAATGGAATGGGTCATTCCAAATCAGCTGAACAAGTTGAAAAATTTCCAGGCTGATACCCCTGACAAAATTCCAGGATAATACACTTCTTAATAGATAAACTGCTAAAACGATTACAGTTTACACACACACACCTTGCACCAAGGCATTAGAAACGGATAGCTCCTCACACCATTCTTGAAACATTTTTGCTTTGTGGCAGCGAGGGTTATCCTGCTCAAATAGGCCACAGCCATCAGGGATTACAATTTTAGTGAAAGGATGTACATGGTCTACAACAAGGCTTTGGTTGGCTGTACATGTCAAAGTAACATCCACATGAATGACAGGACCCAAGATTCCTCAGCAGAACCTGGCCATTCCCAGAAAGCATGATTCCCAGACCAGGCTACCTTCTTCCATGGCACCACGGTCAATTCAGTTCCATTTCAATTAAATGGCACCAAATCACAACAGCAGTTGCATTAAGGCATTTAAGTTCTGATGCTCAAGTGCCCATTGTTGGTGTTTTTGGTGATGGATGGGTCATGAGCACCCATATCGTTCTGCTGTTATGTAGTTCCATACCCAACAAAATGCAATGCACTGTTTTTCAGAACCAATATTTTGGGGGCAGTTTAAGCCTACAGTACCTTGTCTGTTGGATGAGCCACACGGGCCAGCCATTGCTCCTCAGATGAACTGGTGAGTCTTGGCCGACCACGACCCTGTCACTGGTTCATCACTAGTCCTTTTCAACCACTTTTGACTACTGCAGACTGAGAGCACTCCATAAGAGCTGCAGTTTTGGAAATGTGCTGATCCAGTGGTCTAGCTATCACAAGTTTTTCCTGCGTCTAACTTTCAGAACCAAATGTTGGTAATATATCCCACCCGCAACCAGATACCACAATAAAGAGATACTTATTTTACCTGCTGTATCACCAATTGTCACCAATTTTAAGAATAAATAGATTTCAGAAGTGCTATTGGCATTGTTTGTTTTTTTTTACCAGATGTTGGTAAAAGCCAATTCAGTCCACAGAGGCAAAGAATCTAACCATAGATGTCCATAAATTGTGTAACAATTAGAAATGACACGAGGGAAAAGTATTGAACACACAAAGGTGCAACAAAGCATGGGAACTCATTACACCAGCTGAAATCTATCTAATTAGAAAGCATTCCTGCCGCCAGGTGCAGATTAATATCAGCTAATTCTCAAGTCCCAACTGATGGCCTATAAAAAGGTGTCACACAAGGAACATCTCATGTTGTGTAAAACCAATGAGCTCTGTCAAGAGCTTCGCAAGCTTGTTACAAAATATACTGATGGCATTGGTTACAAAAGGATTTACTAAAACTGTTGAAGGTTCCAGTGCGCTATGTTGGGGTGGTGAGAGTGGTGAAAACCAGAGTGGTGAAAACTTTCTACTGGTTGAGCAGTTACCAGAGACTGTAAGACAAGACTGACCAATCTGTGCACTTCCTTGATTGACCATAAGAAAGCCTATGACTCAGTGCCTCACTCATGGATCCTGGGATTCCTCAGGACTGTACAAGACAGGACCATAAGGAATTTGATGGGGATTTGGCGAACACTAGAGGTCAGCTTCAAGTGCAGGATTTACCAAGGAGATGTTCTGCCCCACACTACTGTTCTGCATAGGCCTGAACCCCCGTCACCCAGATCATCAAACAGGCTGGCCAAGGACTTAAGCAATTGTTAGCCGCCACCTCTACACAGATGATATCAAGCTGTATGCCAGGAATGAAGGAGACACTGGTTCACTGATCCACACCACCAGGATCTACTGCAAATGTTGATCTTAAGGGGCCGGACTAGTGAAACTCAATGTCACTGTAAAGAAGTTGCATATTTACATAATTTCCTTCAGGATTAATAAAGTATGCTGATTCTGAACTGTTTCTAGATGGTAAAGAAAAAGCTGCTGTGACAAATCTGTCAGCATGACTCTTTGGTTTTCAGTGTAAGAAATAAATGTGTAAAATGACAGAATAAGTTCTGGTAGCTCATTGCTCATTGCTCTTTTTTTTTTAAATATATGTTTAGTTGTTTTTTCATTCAATTGTTTTTGCTTAATTATTTTGTGTAGTATGAAGCGTTTTTATCAGTGGGGAAAACTTATGCAACTAAAGTTTAGGGTAACAAATTTTGCTTGTGCTTGTTTATGGTGAGAAACAGATCAAACAGGGTAAGAATTATAAATAGCTTGAAGCATGTATTCCGGCCTGTGAGACTTTTCTATTCATTGTTTTCAGAAAAGCCTTATTTTTTATGCATTTATTACTAGATGGGAGAGCACACATGAGCTTTAAGGCCTGGACAAGTTTGAAACCTTTTGTCCTCCATAATGTCAAATGGCTGAAAATAAAATCTGGTGTCACTTTAGCCAGCTCCTAGTTTGATAGATTCTGCACTCAGCAGTCTTCAGTATTATTGAAATGCAGCCAAGTGCTGCTCAGTTTACTTTTTCACTCATTTATTCACTTTTCCCGACACGTTAGCGTTTAAATCCGGCACCCTTGTCTCTGTGTACCAAGCCTGTACCACTACACTTGTTGTCTTTGTAACGTCTGCCCCCTTCCTATTTTAACATAATGATATGATCCCAGATTGCCTGCATGGTGTGCCCATCGAAATAAAGTCCCATCCCTGCCTGCATGGCTTCTCAGCAGGGCCAAAGATTCTGTTTCTACTGAGGACCATCAATAACTGACATGTGAAATTATCTAGGGCCGGATATAATCATATGCAGGCTACTTCCAGCCCATTTGGACTTGAGAAGTGTAGTTGGATCGTTAAAAGAAAAGGGGGAGGGGGTAGTCCCATAGACAAATACGAACGAACCATGAAATAAGCTGGCCAAAAGAGGAGATAGAAGCCACTGACATGCATGCAGCACCCTAAGACTGTACACTAAGAAGGAGGAAGGTGGCCAAGGCTAGTGAGTGTCAGAACTGCTACCCAGGATGAGACAATGAACATCCACAAGTACTTCAGGAAGATGGCCACAACTGAGATTGTGGTTAGTTAATATCTCAGGCAGCAGAAATTTGAGAAGACGAGCATCATGGATGTACAGGACCCTGCATGGTATATACTGCCAGCAGAAGAATTGGCGGATGTCCAGAAATCCTACCAGTGGCTGGACAAAGGTGAACTGAAAGAAAGGCACTAATCATGGCAGTGCAGGAACACACTCTGAGCACTAGACTTTACGGTCTATCACACAAGGCAAGACCCCAGGTGCGGGCTGTGCAAAGATGCCCCTGAGCACATACAACAACAGGGTGCTAGATTCTAGCAAACAGGATATACATGGAACGCCATAACCAAGTGGCCGGCATAGGATACAGAAACATCTGTGCTGAGTATGGCCTGGAAGTCTCGGGGTTAAAATGGAGCACGCCCCCCTAAGGTGCTGCAGTGTCTATGTTTTTTATGGGATTATTAGGACGT